AGCGATGACAAATTTGTTGTTTGTTGTCCGCTTCAGCATGGTAAGAGGAATGATACTCTGAAAGGAATTCGATTTTCAATTATGGACTATCACCGACTTAAGGTTGATAATGGCCATTACCTTACATTGACGAGAAACCAAATAGCCCGAAATCGGTCTGCAAGTGTGCTAGTTCCTATAATGGAAAATTGCCATATGAATAAAATACTTCTGTGATAATTCCTGCACTGACACCTGTTGGATATAATCCAAACCCCCCTTCGTGATGTTAGCCAGGGGGATAGTTATTTTCTGATAGATATCAGTCCATCAACCTACAGTGTGGGTGAGTCGGGAGTGGCCTGAACAGATTGTTATTTTAGTCAATTTTATTCACTGCCAGTCTTCAAGTATGTCCACTGAATGAATGTGAAGGTTTCTTTCCTTATACGAGGAATTGGACGAATTTTGGCTATGTGGTTGGTTAGTACCTTGTTTACCAGATGGGGGATGATAAATTTGTTGTTTGTCGACCGCTTCAGCTTGGTTAGAGGAATGATAATCTGAAAAGAATTGGATTTTCAATTATGGAATATCAACTAAAGGTTGATGATGGCCACAACCTTGCACTAACGAGAGACCAAATAGCTCAAAACCGGTCTGCAAGTGTGCCTGTTCCTATTATTGAAAATAGATTCCAGCAGTTTTATACTTCGTTGAAGTTTGCTGCACTGACACCTGTTGGATATAATCCAACTAGGGAATGCAGTCCCTATCTCGCGGGATTCCGATTTCGCGAGATCCCGTGTAGTTTTTCGCGAGCAATCCCGAAGCATAATATGACGTGATTCCGTTCGAGATGTAGAATCTAATGAAGAGGAAGAATTGATTAGAAGACTCTAAACTGAACACAAATCGCAGTGCAGAGGAAGAACAAGTCTTGGACGACAATTCGGATAATTATGATGGTTTATACTTTTCCTTAGTTATATGACAAGTTGATCTGGCTACAGAATACCAAATGGGTATATCGAAACTGCGAAAATGCGTTAAACTTTTTAGGAATTCACCTACCAAGAATGATATGCTTCAGGAATCACACGTTAAAAGGTAAGACCTCGTTAATCCTCAGCTCGCACAAGTTTCGACTTTTGAGGGTTGTCGTTCGTAGGGGTGCGACAGCTGATTAACGGAAAAACAGATTTTAAACAGATTTTTAAACAGAATTATATTCAGCAAGAGTTTGACAAAATAATTCAGCTGGTTCTTGACCGCAAGACACGTTGGACTAGCCTATGCAACATGATGAGTACATAAAATAGAGTAAATCAGTGTGTAGCTAAGACCCTAGTTGACCTCTCACTCAGTTCCAATTCAAACGGATGAAGAATATGCTGTCCTTAACGATTTGAAAAATACATATGAGCTAGTGAAATTGGCTATGCCGTCGAGGTACTGATTTAGTTAGTACAGAACATACGTTGCGTTTCATGATTTTAAAGCTAGAAGAAGAAACTCCTCTCTCAGAAAAGTTGGTATCTTCGATGAACAATCCCACACAGCACTAGATATTCATGGAATATTCCCTGTATATCATATAAAATACTTCTGTGATAATTCCTGCACTGACACCTGTTGGATATAATCCAAACCCTCCTTCGTGGTGTTATCCAGGAGAATAGTTATTTTCTGATAGATATCAGTCCATTAACCTACAATGTGGGTGAGTCGGGAGTGGCCTGAACAGATTGTTTTTTTAAGTAATTTAATTCACTGCCAGTCTTCAAGTATGCCCACTGAATGAATGTGAAGGTTCCTTTTCTTATACGAGGAATTGGACGAATTTTGGCTATGTGGTTGGTTAGTACGTTGTTTACCAGATGGAGGATGATAAATTTGTTGTTTGTCGACCGCTTCAGCTTGGTTAGAGGAATGATAATCTTAAAGGAATTCGATTTTCAATTATGGAATATCAACTAAAGGTTGATGATGGCCACTACCTTGCACTGACGAGAGACCAAATAGCTCGAAATCGGTCTGCAAGTGTGCCTGTTCTTATTATTGAAAATCGATTTCAGCAGTTGTATACTTCATTGAAGTTTGCTGCACTGACACCTGTTGGATATAATCCAACTAGGGAATGCAATCCCGATCTCGCGGGATTCGGATCTCGCGAGATTCCGTGTAATTTTTCGCGAGCAATTCCGAAGCATAATATGACGTGATCCCGTTCGAGATGTAGAATCTAATGAAGAAGAAGAATTGATTTGAAGACTCTGAACTGAACACAAATCGCAGCGCGGAGAAAGAACAAGTTTGGACGACAATCTGGATAATTATGATGGTTTATACTTTTCCTTACTTATATGACAATTTGATCTGGCTACAGAATACCAAATGATTATATCGAAACTGCGAAAATGCGTCAAACTTTTTAGGAATTCTCCTACCAAGAATTATATTCAGCAAGAGTTTGATAAAATTATTCAGCTGGTTCTTGACTGCAAGACACGTTAGTCTAGCCTATGCAACATGATGAGTACATAAAATAGAGTGAAGCAGTGTGTAGCTAAGACTCTAGTTGACCTCTCACTCAGTTCCAATTCAAACTATTTTTTCACGGATGAAGAATATGCTGTCCTTATCGATTTGAAAAATACATATGAACCAGAGAAATTGGCTGTGCCGTCGCGGTACTGATTTAGTTAGTTTAGTGCGTTTCATGATTTCAAAGCTAGAAGACCTAAAAACTCCTCTCTCAGAAAAGTTGGTATCTTCGATGAACAATCGTATTTCCGAGCGTTGCATATGAGCAACTGAAGCGCTGTTATATTTGAAAAATCTGCATAATTATCAAGATGATTTGAAGCAATGGAAAGGCAACGATACTTTCCAATTGCCAAGTGAATGTCTCATAAGGAAAGGAAAGAAAAATGTAATCACACGATTATATCGTGAAGAACCAAACCAAATGGAGATTAATACAGCAGTTTTGATCGAAGATGACTTGCCACTTTCTATGATTGCAGAGGATTAAAATTTAAGTGCTACTGCTACACAAACTAATACTTCACTTCAAGAGGAATCAGAAGAAAATCTGCGAGCGTCTGAAAGCCCTTTTAAACGTGTATCCAGATCCACAAGCTCAGATAAATGAAGGACGGTAATAAAAAAAGAAATGGATTTACTTGAGTATGGAGTAACGAGGAGGACATTTTTCCAGTTTGCATATAGTTGCTTAGACACGCTGTTGCCAACCAGTGTTGAGTCGGAGAGGGCATTCTCAGCAGCTAGCTACATTGTAACGGATATTAGATGCCGGTTAGCAGATAGTACTCTTGATACAATTTGTTTTTTAAGAAGTTTCTTTCAAAATTACCCGTAACTAATTTTTAATCTCCTTGAGTTATACTTCACCTACTTTTGTTTAGATTATGTTCATGATAGTAAAACTGTTAATAATTCAGTTAGTAATATTGAAGGATAAAGGCTTTTGTTTTCTTACAAATAATATTTTGTTTCAATTAACCTCATTATCACAAACAAGCAGTTTTCATTATATTCAGTAATGTAATTTTTTTTTTAACTAGACGAGATCACGCAAATTTCGAGATCCCGCGGGATTGACATTTCTAATCCCGAGGGATCTCGACTGTACGATTTCGGGTCGGTGGAAAATCATTTCATTTCTGGATGTGAGGTCGAACAAGGAGATGAAATTTCATATGAACTATCCTAAACAAAAAACATTCAGGTTCACAAGAAAGAATTTTGAGAAAAAGTAGTAACATATGGTTAACATATTTGATTTCATGAAGCTACAAGAAGTTAGTGAAGAACATATCAGATCAATTCAGAATCATAACAAATATGTCGTTGAAGTTGAAGATGAACATATCGTTCATCTTCAACTTCTATTTTTCAATTAGTGTCCTTCCAAAGAAGAGGTAGTAATGAGTTACATGAATAATGTACTGCTTCTACTGTTGAAAGCATTTGAATGAAATCTTTAGTGAAAGTTCAACTGTGTACGGAAATGGAGTAATAATTCAGGAATACGAATCGGTTAAGTATTCATTGAACTCTCACGATATGTGGAGAGACTATAGCGATCTGAACTATTAAATACTCATTAGTCTGAGAAATCAGCAATTGGAATACAGATCGTGAATGAAGAAAATGAACTATCGATAGGAGTTCAATATCCAATGGAGAAATCTTAGTTACAAGTAAATAAATCCATGAGATATATGAGAATCAGCGGTCTCCCTAAGAAGCTGAATATTTTCTTCCGTCGCGAAAAAAAAAAAATGTGAACAGTACCGATAGATATGATCCGAACAAAATCGTTATCGTTATGAATTTTGAATACTGTTGACAGAAAACAAATGTAAGACGTAATCTCCACTTATAATTTTTCACAACTTTCCGAAAAATAAGGTTTGAGTCACAAATTTTTATATTGTCATGGAAAAACAGATGATTTTGTTACTTCAGGTGAACAGTCCATCAATTTCAGCGATTTGGTGAAATAGACTATATTTTTGTTACTCATAGTATTACTCATCATCTCTTATTATAGATCGAGGACATTTCTTGCTCTCAATAATGAAAGGAAATACACTTCCATTAACTAAAATGGGAAATATCCGGATGAATTATACTTAATCTGTTTATTTATGCTCCACACCACTTTTGCATTTCCGGCTAGTAATTATGCGGTGACAAAAGTAGTTAGTCACGATATTGTTATTGGACAGTGTGAAAATTCATAAGAATTTCAGGAATACAAAGGATTCATATCAAATATATTGTTATTTCACAAAGCCTATTCAGTCAATATTTCGAACATTGAAGAAAACATATTGAAAAATTATGTACATTCGAGATTAGTACACAACAATAAAGATAATTCGAAGGTAATCCCCATTTCAGCTTATGGAAGCTGCCTTGTATGAAAATTGATTTGAACTCATTATCACAATATTCGGATGTTTATAAAATCAGAGTCGCCAGAGAAATGATATCAGTTCACGATTTCTTTCCAGTTCAGTTACAATATACATCATGACAAGTGACGCTCTCCTTTTGTCAATTTTCCTGTTGGTTCATGAAGGTATAACCAATGTTATACTCTTGTATATGTCAAAATTATAATTCAATATTCATTTTGAATCTCTGAAAGTTTATAATCATCACAATCAATATCGTTTTGTTGCATAATATGATGGGCGACTGCTGATTTTTCAGGTCTTCTATATTTTGAGTGTGCTATGTGTTCCTTGTATCTCACTTTGATAGATCTTTTTGTCTGTCCATAATATTTTGCATCGCAAGTCCTCACATTCAATTTCGTAAATTCCAGACTTTTCCGAATTCTCGACTTCGTGTTTTGGACTTCCCAAAAGGCTCTGTAGCGTATGACTTGTTTTAAAAACCACCTTCATACCTTGTTCCTTGAAAATCTTTCCAAAGTTCTTCGTATATTGGTGGCATGGAACTGAGATGTATTTATCTTGATTTTTGTCCTTTCTGAAAGTCGAGAGTTCGTTCATTCTTAACCTAAACTTCTTCTTCCTTATTATGTCATCTACAATACCCCTCGAGAAACCGTTAGTGGCTGCTATTTCCTGTATTGTACGTCTTTTTTTTTGTGAACCTATCATGTGTTAGAGGGAAAGCCAGAAGACAATGCACTAAAAAATTCAACGCAGCCCGTTTGTGCTGTCCACAGTGATGTGTACTGTCAGGATATACTAAATATATCGTATTTTAACCCTCCATATTGGCTAGACTTCAGTTCATTAAGATTAGTCAGACAAGTTAACAACAACAGGCAACTAGATGCCTATGAGAGTGTGGAAATAAGTAAACACAATAATATCATGAATAATGATGACGGACCTATACCAAATAGCATACTATATAGCTTGCTAAAATAATATTGTTGGGTTTACTGATTACTACAAAAGGACACATTGCAAAAATAAATTTAGATAGGCAATATTGTGAAATTAATTTCAAATAGCTAAAAATTGTTTTATATACAATTGAATATATATTGTAAAATAATAGATAAGGCAAAATTGTAAAATTAGTTTAGGTTGGTATAACTGTATGTGTGGTATACCTGTAAAGTTTACCTATATATCATAAATAGCGTTAGCTCCGCATTAGTTTCTAGTTTGATCTTCCTCTTGAAGATAATCTATTGGTGATCGAAACACGTGTCGAGGTGTTAAAAATAACGATTTGGTGTTGGAAAAAAACTCCAGTAATAGTCATTACTACACCAAAGGTTCCAAACAGTGCATCATTGTTATCAGTTTTGATCGTTATAAATATTTATGTAGGATAAAAGCCAATATTTGTGATATATTTGCATTTTATAATAAATACAAGATCAATCATAGTAAATGTTTTGCAGTTTCAGTCTTAGCACAAAGGAGGACCTTCACTTGTACCATTCCATCTCTATGCAGTGATGTTGCCATCGATCCAAGAATTCAAACTCCCACACAGTCGGTGAGATTTTATTTTTGTCTAATATATATTTGCATTCATATTCATGAAATTCATATCGTGGTTATTTAGTTGGAGAAGAGTTCCTGATTTGTTTTTCGATAATAGGAATAAGTCACAAATGAAAATTTCATAAAAATAGTTTCCGAAAATTCTGTTTATTTCTCACTTTTGTTGGGTGTTGTGACTTATATTTGAATATATGATGGAATCGGCCGATACTTGATGAAAATCCATAACTAACGTATTTTAAAAACACTTCATTGTGAGATTTTCACTAAACAATTTTACAAAAATGCAATCTGTGTTTCGCCATACAATGGCTTCTTCTATAACTCATTCTACAATTTACCTTCCTACAGCTACCTGATTTTTACTTAATTTGTGATGAATTAAATTATCTGAGCTTATGTCCCATTTTCCACATTTCAAAAAATATTCAGTAACGGAGAGTTATACAATTTTAATTGATCATTCACTAAATTACTCGAATTCCTTAATCTGTTGATTTACAAACATTCTAGAAGATTGAGTTTCAAACTCTTCTCTTCTAAATGTAACACATCGTATTCATGATTGAACTCATGTACTTCTTGTAGAGGTGGTTTGAAAATATGGAATTGGTTGTTCTATTTAAAAACTACTTCTATGGTCTTTAATTCTTTGGGAAAATAATCTCCCTGTTTGGTCAATATACAGTTTTGGACAAGAGTCACAAGTCAGCTTATATACTCCTGATCTATCTGACAACGAACTTTTGACTTTATTATTTTCAATGAATTCACTTAGATTATTATTCGTTCAGTACCCTACTTTTACGCATTCTTTCTTAAAAAACAGCAATATTATTGGTTGGTTCAACCAAATATGACAATGTCCTATAACTGATGTTATCGCATATTGAATTTGGGTAGACCAGGTCCATGACTTGCTTTTCTAGTTTTTTTGGAAAGAATGGAGTCTATAATATCTACCTTATAACCGTTGTTAACAGCGATTTGTTTGATGAAACTCAGCTCTCTCTGGAAATCACTCTCAGACAGTAGAATATTCAATAGTCTGTGAAGCATACTATTGAATGCCGCAAATTTATGCTGGTAAGGGTGTGTGGAGGAATTATGTATGAACATGTCCGTGTACGATGGTTTGTGGAAAATTGCAAATTCATGTTGATTATTATTTTTCGTAATGGTCAAGTCAGGGTAATTCATTGAATTAATTACCTTCCTCTCAGTGGTGGATTTTATTGACGGTGGATGGAATTTGCATATTTAATGAACTTGCGTAATTGACTTTATGTATCAATAAAACAGACTAAGACATCATCTATGTATCTGTACCAGTACAAACAATTGCTAGCTAACTGATTATCATGATTTCATACTCTATGTGATCCATTGAAATTTCCGGCAGCAAGTGACTCAAAGGGTTCCCCATAATAATTCCTTCAGTGCATAGATAGAATCTGAAATTTCCTGTTTTATCAGTGGATTCACGTGGTTTTTGTCTGAGAGATACTCAACTAGTCCAATTGTTTCAATTGACGGAATAATGGGAAATAAATTTTGAACATCGAACGATATTAATTTTGAGTTATCTGGGAGAATTACGTCTTTAATATTATCCACTAATTGATAAGAATTATTCATACTAAATTTCGACTCTGAATTGGTATAAGTTTGAATCAATGTTATCAGGATTTCTGAGATTTTTTTGGTAGGTACCGTTACAATCGACACCACTGGTCTTATTGGGAAATTGGTTTTGTGTAATTTATTAAGGATTCATGATCAATGCTTTACATTTATCCTTTCCATTCACAACCAATTCTATTGTTTTGAGGGTTTCCTCAACCTTTTTCTGGTACATAGTTGTAGGGTCATTCCTCAGAAATCTCGTAGCTTCCTGAAATGAGGAAATCTAAAATTTTTCCTACGAAGTCTTTATGCCAACGTAGTCTTTATGCCAACTAACTTCTTGGTTCAATCAAATCACTCTTTATTTCAATGCAGGCAAAACTAAACTAACTATAGTCATCAGAGGCAATTGGTAGATGTAGATATAATTTTGAATAACACACCTCTGCCTATAAATAACAGCTGTAAATTCTTAGGACTATTCGTTTACTCACATTTAGAATGGAAAAACATTGCAAGGCCCTGATTCCCAAACATTCATCTCTCCACTATATGTTCAGAAATCTCAAAGTTGTTTTGACACAGCAACAATTAATAAACTTATACAACGCACAAGTGGAAAGTCGATAAGCTCCAGCTCGAATCGGCTCGAACAACTTACCTTCCTCCATCGAAAGCTTAAAACATGAACGTACTTTAAAAAAACCGAATACATGTTGTTCAGCTGAACAACATGTATTCGGCTTCATTAAATTTTCTCCTGAACTAATGTTTCTCTCTGTGTATGATCTCAGCTTGGGACCACTCGTTGTGTGTGTTTCCCTTGAGACCTTCTCTCGTATTACAGAGCCCAAAAGCACGGTCTAATAGAGTCTTGATGATTCCTCTTTCAGTCGATTGATGGTGGTTTGATTCGTGGTACAGATACTGTCCCATGTGAGTGGGTTTTCGGTATACAGATGTTTTCCACTTTCGGTCTGAACGGAACGTCTTTCTTGTGGATTTTGGGTAGTCCATACAAATGAGGGGGCTTACTGTGGCGCGGTGTTAGCGATGATCTTTCCTTGTCCGAAAAATAGACTTTTTTTCAAAATCTGGTACAACTTCCTTTCAATTGATGCAGTAGGGTCCCGTACGATATTTGTGTATTATACCTTCTGAAGAACCTCTTTGATCTTCTGTTCGTAGAGAACAATATCCATCACCACAGCCAACTCCCGCCAAACGGTCCTCTCCCACTGAACCAGTGGAGCAGAAAAAATGGAAAGCGGGGATATGTGAAAGTACACAAACAATCCATAAGTAGTCATCTCTCGGAGGAATCAATCCAGTCATCACTCGAAGACAATTGTAGATACTAACAATCGAAACGTCGTGAACTAACTTGGCTTGAAATCTCTTAACTTTTTATTTTTTCCATTTTTATTTCATTTCAGGTTTTTTTGCTCAATATAATTGTTATTTCCAGCTATTCATTTTGAATTCTTATTTTTTTAGTTGTTTCAGGAATTTCAAATCATTTTATATATCCGACAATGGACGTCCGAACTAGTGAAATTCATCATAAAACATTGTCAATCACCTTCAGAAAAAATTTAAATCGCTGTTAACTATCGTTATAAAGTAGATATAATAGACTCCATTCTTTCCAAAAAACTATAAAAGCAAGTCATGGACCTGGTCTACCCAAATTCAAGATGCGATAACGCTAGTTATAGGACATTGTCATATTTGGGTGAAGGAACCAATAAAATTTCTCGTTTTTTGAAGAAAGAATACGTAAACTTAGTCTACAGAACGAATAATAATCTAAGTAGATTCATTAAAAATAATAAAGACAAAACTCCGGTATCGGATAGATTAGGAGTATATAAGCTGACTTGTGGCTCTTATCCAAAACTGTATATTGGCCAAACAGAGAGATTATTTACCCAAAGAATTGAAGAGCATTGAAGTAGTTTTTCAAATAGAAACACCAATTTCATATTTGCAAACCATCTTTCAGCAGAAGGACATAAGTTCAATCACGAATAATATGTGTTACATTTAGAAGACTTTGAAACTGAATCATCTAAAATGTTTAGAAATCGATAGATTCAGTAATTCGGGTAATCTACTGAATGATCAATTAGAATTGAATAACTCTCCGTTACTAAATATTTTTTCAAATGTGGGAAATGGGACGTAAGCTCAGGTAATTTAATTCATTACAAACTTAGGTAAAAATCGGGTACTTGAAATGTAGAAATTTCAAATAGTAGAATATGGTATACATAACATTGAATGTGTACAATTTGTTAGTGAAGACACGACCGAAGAAGCCATTCTATGGCGAAACACGTGTTGTATTTTTGTAAAATTGTTTAGTGAAAATCTCACAATAACGTATTTCTAGAATACGTTAGTTATTGATTTTCATCAAGTTTCGGCCGTTTCCATAATATATTCAAATGAAAGTCACAAAACTCAACAAAAGTGAAAAATAAACAGAATTGTAGATCAATATTTTAGATTTTTTCTTGAAGCCATTGTATGGTGAAACACGTGTTGCGTGTTTGTAAAATTGTTTAGTGAAAATCTCACATTGAGGTGGTAAGTTGCTGAATATTTACATGACTTATTATTCAGTTTGAAATCGGACAAAAATCTCTCTGAAATCTTACTTATCTGCCGATAGCTATTCATTACTTTGATTGAAAGTAAAACAAGATTCCACTGGGATATAATAAGTGTTATGAGGATAACAGACATCACGGACAATAGCTCAAATAATCAAGATCGATCTTCCTTACCAGATAGGTCGATCATTCTGTTAATTTTTGTTTTCGCTCTTGTCCTACATGTTTACTCACCCTGTAGATGTTTGGAGAATAAAATGCAATCTAAGCAAAGGAATCAATTCAATAACAAAACAATAATTTTAATAATTTCATCTACAATAATCATTAATTGCGTACAATCTCAATAACTGGACGAACAAACTCTACCTGATTATTTTTTACAGTTCTATTATAGGATTTACTAAAAACTACAGTCTACCCTACAGCCATTCTTATTATTTCAACGTCAACTCCTGCTCTTAGGGCAGCAGAAGTAGATGCATGTCGCATACTATGTGCTAAACACTTTTTAGTATCGATTCCACTAATTTTTAATATTTTCTTCATCCACCTACCTATACTCTGGAAAGTTGCAGCACGATGAAATTTTTTCCAAGTAAAATATCTATTTCTCATGGTCTCAAATTTTCTACTTTTGATAAGGTTTTCACTAGACATAATCCGGGTTCCTTCCTTCAGTCTGACGATACCTCCATACCATACAGTTTCACGGTTCAAAAAAATCAACAACTGAAAAATAACATTACATTACATCACAAAATAAACAGTTTTCTTGATTTGAATGAAAAATTTGCTGGTTTGACACAACTTTTTAACGATTTGGTTGCATATTTCGAATAAATCATCAATCACCTATTCTAATAAAAAGGGGTCATTTGACGATGTAATGAAGTGTATCTATCAGTTTGAAGAGCAATATTCTGCTGTTAGAACATTGAAATGAAGTAAAAACTGTTCTGTCTTTTTTGCGGTCTAATGAAAGTCATTCACCCCACAAGTGAGGTAAGTAAAGCACCTGAAAGGGAGAATCTTTTCATTCTTAAAAAGCAAGCATGCTCTTACCCATCCCTATAATCAACAACTCATCGTGTCATTACACGAAATAATGAATCATCTCCATTGACTCGGAGATGACCGTTTGTGCAATCTATTCAATGAAAAGAGCCATACTAGTTCAGAAAAAAGATTCCACTAGACGAATTCATGAATCGCCTCTCTATTAATTTAGAGGTTAGTGTTCGAGTAGTCTATTCAATAAAAAGAGTCTTACAAATTGAGAAAAAAAAAGGTGCCACAAAACGAATCAATGGACCGTATCTATTGATTCAGAGATCTGTATTCGTGCAGTATATTTAATGATTGAATGAAACGTTTTTCTGCAATATTTCTAAATGGCATTATTTTTATATTATTGTCAAACTTTCTTCAATTTTACATTTTGTTCAATTCATTCATTGACATTTGGGTTAGAGTTTTGAGATAAACTATTAAATTATATCGGCGCACATTATCGATAAAAATGAAAAATGACTTGAGAAATCACTATTGTTTCAAAATGATATTGTGGATAGTCATATTTCATCCGTATTTCACTACATATGAAAATGTGAATTAAATAAGAAATGTTGCATTTTTAACGCCTTATATACGTTCTTCACGAACCAAAGAAGGTACAAACGAAAAAACGGTCGAACGCACAAACAAATTAGCCCCTCTGTATATATTTTCAGCAGAAATTTTATCAATCTAAGATGATCTATATTATAGAACACTACTTCATGACAAGAAATGCTCTGAAACATACGACCCGTTGTCATATACTTACTTCACACATCATAGTTATATATAATATTACCACAAACATCATTACCTGACTACTTTCAACGAAAACAATGAATTTGTTGTCTGTGGTTTTCCCCATAACTGATAATGAAATGAATACTGACAAAACAAGATGCGTAATAGTTCTATATATTCTGAAAACTCATTAGGATGATAGTCTGTATTTTCAAACGAAAATTGATCGGTAACCTATTGATAAACTATGTGTGAAATACTGACTTTTTGACATGACGTTCTCGTTATGAATTCCACACTCCTTCTTCTTTCATTTGATGTGATGCACATGATGATGTGACTATCATTAACGAAGATACAACTTAGTGCTCTTATGGCAGTAATCTGCGTTTTTCTTTGTTGATAAATTCTGCGTTTTGATTCAAACCTTGACCCGACAACTTTCAATTCGAAGGTTTTTCAATGATTTTCCCCCAGTACCCACATCGGCCTGTTGCAGCTAATAGAACGAAAATAGTTTATGAGGCCCTCTTGGCTTTGGAAAATAATGAACTATGTTTCTTGATATCAAAACGAATCCATTGATGTCAAAATTTTCGAAATCGTACGACCAGAAGTGAAAACCGGTGATCTGTTTTTGACGGATTTGAAACCGTCTCATCATTAGGAATCCAAATACATCATATTATTGGCAGACCGCATCTTATTTTTTTCTTTTTTGATACATTCTACGTTTTTTCCTAAATGATATATTTTGAAACGCCCTGTACACAGATTCACACCATGATTTTTTCGTAATGTATTTTGATGGATCGCATGTTGGAACATTGAATTGCCATGTTTTTTTCTTTAATGATGTATTTTGTCACACTTTGTACACATTACCGCCATGTTTTTCTTCCTTGATGTATTTTGAGACACCTTCTAGACTTCACTGAATGCCCATGGCATGTTTTTCTCTTCAATCTGATTTTTCATTCATCATTATTACTATATCATTTTCGTGCTTTCAATATTTTCATATATGTAGTGTACTCGGGAAAACTATAGAGTACGCTCCTGCACTCCGTCAGGTAAAAAAAGGCTCTCGGGCCCGAATGTATAATGAGCAACATTAATAATGCCATAAAGACGTTTTTGATGGTCGTCAGGGTACATTTAACAAACATAAAATTCAAATAAGTTTAAAAGACGGAGCAATACCGAAATTTTATAGCGCAAGGCCCGTTCCGTTTGCCATGAAACCAAAAATAGAAGAAGAAATGGAAAGATTAGTAAAAAATAAAGTCTTAGAGCCCGTTGAATTTCCCGAATGGGGAACACCGATTGTCCCTGTTCTAAAAGCTAATGGTAAACTAGGTATATGCGGTGATTTCAAAATTACACTAAATTCACAATTGGAAATTCATCAATACCCCTTTCCGAGGATAGAATATATTTTTTCGGAGTTACATGGAGGCGAAACATTTTCTAAAATAGACCTATCTGACGCATACCAGCAGGTTATGTTAACAGAAGATTCTAGAAAGTTTGTCACCACACAAAGGTTCATTCTCGTATACGCGTTTACTGTACGGAATAACAAGCGCGCCCAGTATATTTCAACAAATCATAGAGCAAATTTTTGTTAGCATGTCGGGTGTGGTGTACTGTATGGATGATATTCTAATTACGAGCAGAAACGACTGAGAACATTTAACAAATTTAGAAAAAGTTCTATCTAGAATCCATGAATGTGGTTTGATGGTGAAGAAAGAAACATGTTTTTTTTTCAGAACAGGGTTAAGTATCTTAGGCACATTATTGATAAAAACAGGTTGAGAACTTCTGAAGAAAAGACAGGCCATTAAAAAAAAACTGTTTAAAATCTGTTTCTTCCGTTAATCAGCTGTCGCCCCCATTCGACCGACAACTCTCAGAAGTTGAGAAACTTGTGCGAGCTAAGGACTAACGAGGTCTTACATTTTAACGTGTGATTCCTAACACGGTTGCTGAATTATTCCAGTTTCAACCAGATAAATTCTCTCGAAAAATATCTGGTAGAAGAGGGAATTGAACCCACGGTCTTCCGATCGCGCACTACCACCGCGGCTAATACCACATTAAAAAGGCATTCATTCCAAAAAATGTCACAGAGTTGAAATCGTTTATGTGAATGGTTAATTTTTATTGCTAATTAATTCCGAGTGCATCAGATGTGATGCAACCCCTATATGAATTATTAAAAAAGAAACCGAATGGAACTGGCTATAAAAGTGTCAGAACATTAAAATTGACAGTTGACGCTAGTAAATTTACCATAGCAGCCGTGATTAGTCACGTGTACGAAGATAAAAGAGAGAGGCCAATTGCTTTCGCGTCGCGAAAGACTGTATGACGGCAAAAATGGAGAAGTGGGAGGTATGAATATTACTGGAACACCAAACCGTTATTTCAACACCTCGACATGTGTTTCAATCACCATCTTCAAGAAGAAAGATCAAACACCACCGGTCGGACCGTAGCTGGTGAATTCGACGTGGGTGCTTTGTTCACACACTCAAATCGACCATCGTGTTGGTCGCTTGTTCAAGCCCCAGGCTCAACAATCGATTTCCACTTGCTATCCTCCAACCCGTGTTAGGAATCACACATTAAAAGGTAAGGTCTCGTTAGTCCTTAGCTCGCACAGGTTTCGACTTCTTAGGGTTGTCTTTCGTAGGGGTGCGACAGCTGGTTAACGGGAAAACATATTTTTTTCAAACAGATTTTTAAACAAATCTACTCTAGAAACTATTGAAAATGTTCCGAATTTTATTTCAAAATTTTCAACTTTTTTCTTCAAATACATTTCAATCGTTTCTTGCAGCCATCGACATCAGCTCCTCCAACTTGCCCAACAGGGTACGTTCCTTGTAACAACGTGAAATGTGGAATATCTGCAGTCGGCATTTCTCCAGGAACACAAAATGGAGAAGCAACTAGAGGCGCTTTTCCATGGCACACTTTCATTCAAAATAAGAACGCTTTGGGAGTTAATAACGGATATGCTGGAGGTGGAGTATTGATCGATCAAAATTTCGTATTAACTGCTGCTCATAAAATCAGAAATTTGTAAGTGAGTTGAATAAGTATCCATTTGTGAGACAGATGCAATTTTTATATTTCAAAACTTTCAGAAGGTAAATTCAACGCCCATATTTAAATTTTGTTGTATTACGTCACTAAAACGCCTATATGATACGTCTGGTCAATGAAGTAAAAGTTTCCTGTCCAAGGCACTATGTTCTGATGAAAAATATATCAACTGTCAAATGCGGTTTTAGAAATATCGAGGAAATATCACGAGCAACTGATTGCATTTCTTGTTTCTAAATATTCTTAAAAAGGATGGAAATATCACAAATCATCAAGATTAGTAAGTCCTGCTAGCAAGTATGGTACATCATCTGAGACGCCTCATGAAGTGATATTGTTATTTCGACATTTTAGAATATCTCAAGTACACAAATCGAAGTTGAGACGTCAAGTTCCCCCTCGAATATTTCCAGATTTTGTGAGAATGTCAGAAATCCTCTAAACCCGCCACCAAAAAAAAAACAATCCGGGGAAAAAGCGCTTTCTATTACTCCAACCTGCATACTACCAGCTTTTCCTCAACTTCTTTGAAAGGCAATCTGATCCAAACAAATGAAATGAATTTCAGCTTTTTTGTGATTGAAATATGAATGCTTTCAAATCATTTTCGGAAACTGATGAAGTGACTTTCTCAAATGCAGCAAAACCTCCAAAAGTCATAGGTTTTGCTGCTCTGTTTGGTAGAATATATCTAAAGGTGATATCTTTTCGTTGATATCATTTTGCCGATTTTTTTATCTGATGTTCAATAGTAACAATATATTGATCATGTTCAAGTCCCAAACCAGACTTGATTGATTTGTTGGTGTATCTGTCGCATTCGGAATAAACACTTTGATACCCTTTTGATTGAAATTTCGGATGACTTCAATCATGCCTTCACATCCATCAAGTGGAAATATATGTATCTATGATAGCTTGTGACACCTTGATGCGATCGACGGAATGTTGGATATATTTTGGTGATCCAATAAGCTTGTATAAGTGCTTGACCATTGATTAAAATGAGAACTTATTTTGTGCCTGTTCTACCGCATCTACTCAAGAAGATCATAAACTGATTTCAAAGTGAATGACCTACCACAAAATCAAAGTCGATTCATTTCAATAACTTTATGAAAGTTATGTCATGAAATGGACTTATTTTACATTCATTTGGTTTGAAATTTTCAAAAAGTAGCTTTCATAAACAAGAAATGTGATGAATACTGATTGGTCTACAGTAACTAGTACGCAGTTTTTTACATTAATGATAAGAAAAATTTCATCCGACACATTTTTTTATTCCTGTCGTACCAATTTCACTCCTTTGTTATATTTATACATTTTACTTATTTCACTAATGAAACACAAATCCCCGAAATATTTCCAGTTTGTTGGTAAATTTCAATTCCCATGTCATTTTGCCTCATTTTCATCAATGTTCTAAAAAAACTTGAAATGTGCTGCAATCGAACATTTCTGATATATAACTTACCATAAGTATTTGTTACTTGTCAAACCATCTGAATTGATATTTTACACTGAATTCATTACGTTATTTATATTGAGGTAACTGTTATGATTCTAACACTTGCTAGTTTAATACATTCCAGTTACTTATTTTTATTTCATTCATCTTGTCTTTTACATGATTTCGGTTTGTTTGAAGGTGGTTGACAATGTTTCATGGTGAATTTGATTGGTTCGGACTTCCATTGTCCAATATGATATAATATGGTTTGAAATCTCTGAAAGAACAAATAAAAACGAAAATAAAAAACAGAAGCTAAAAAACAATTTTATTAAGTAAAAGAACCCTGGAAAAAAATCACAATAAAATAAAAATCAGGCAGAAAAATGAACAATTAAAATTAAATCTGAATCAAAAATTGAAATATTTCAGACAAGTCACTTTACGACGATCCGATTGACTTTTCCTCCGAGAGGATTATTTATAGGTCATTCGAGTGTTTTCACCTATCTTCTTTTCCCTCTCTCCGGTTTAGCGGAAGATGACCTATCGGCGTGAGTTGCCCGTTTTCCACTTCATTATGGGTATCTCTACGCTAGCTTTGCTGAATGCGTCGTTGGACAACATCTATGCAGCTTCTTTGAATTTTCTTCTAAATCAGTGTTCCCTCCTGTGGATGATCTAAGCTTGGAACCATTTTATGTTATGTTGATGAGTCCAAACATGCTCTGCTATTTCTGATTTGCTGGTTTCTCCTCGCTCTGTGTTTTTTGTGCTTGGCAATGCGGCCTTTCAATGGTCTCTTAGTTTCACCGGTATAGGATTTGTCGCACTCCCAGAGAATGCGGTAAATGCAATATTCTTGGAATCACAGTTCGCGTTTGGTGGCCTGGTTTCTGAGAGGGTACAACGGATGATGTTTCCAGATCTGAAGCAGATTCTGATGTAGTTGGACCCAATTCTTCTTATATTTTCCGACAATCCTCTGATGTAGGAAAGTGCAGGCAGTGGTTGTGACGGCTTCTCTTCCTTGCAGGGCTCTCGCTGTCTTTCGGCTGAAGTCTGTTCTATCATCATTTTGGAGTAACTATTTCGTTGAAGATTTTTCGTGATGATGGCTAGTTCCTTCTTAACACCTTTCTTTGTAAAACAGAGTTGAAAGCGCAATCTACTGAAGCCTTGATGATACCTATTCTGATTATGGTAGATATATGGTGATTGGATTCGTGATTTGAATACTATCCCGTGAGACAGTATCTGAAGAGGTCCGACACTTAGTGTCGGACGTCTTCAACAAAACGTCTAAAAATGACAATTTGTTGTAAATGTGATGGAAGGTCTAACTCTGTTGATGTGATTCAAAATGTTGTCTAGTTCTCCATTCAAATGATTTCATATCATGGAGGTGACTTCAACGGATCTCAACCAGACTCCAGGCTTCTTGTAGACTTTTTCGATGGCCAGAGTTTCAAACCAGGCTATATATGTGTTAACTATAATTGGTGAAAGTGACGATCTCTTTGGCAAGAATTCGCCCTTCAGCTGAAAATAGCAGTTTCGTACACATCATTCTAGTGATTTCACAAAAGCTTCTATAGGTAAGTTTGTTCTAACTACCCGGTCCCTGCCTTCGGATAGCTTCATCGGCATGATTTGAAGTGCTTCTGTGACAGGAACGTTGGTATAAAGGCTTTTCACGTCGAAACTGATCAATTGATCTTGTTCTGTGACTTCGATAGACCCTAGTAATTAAACAAAATGCCTTGAATTCTTCACGAAAGATGAAGTTAGTCCTTGCAGTGGTTATATTATTGGAAGTGAAAATCTGAACCAATTTAGAGTAGCTGGATCTCTGGAGCTAATAATCGGTCTGAGCGGAACACCGTTCTTGGGGATTTTTGGTAGTCCATACAAGTGAGAGGGATTACTGTATGGTGCGGAGTGATGCGATGCAGTGTTAGCGATGACCTCTTTTTTCCAAAAAGTAGACTTGGTATTTTTTCAAAGTCTGGTACAACTTTATTTCAATTGATGCAGCTGGGTCCCATACAATCTTCTTCTTATGTCCCTTCTGAAGAACATCTTTGATCATCTGTTCGTTAAGATCGGTATCTTATTACGAATGTAGCGTTTCTTTCATCTGCAGGTAGGATCTACGATACAGCTGTTCTCAGGTTTTCCATCTGAATTTTTCTGCTTCGATCTGATCAATAAGGAAACTACTGCAGTAATTATCTCCAAAGTGGACACAAATGTTGGCGCAATGGCGGAGTTCAAACATTTTCGCAACAAGGCTTCCTTTATGTCCGTGAGCGGGCGTAAGCTCACGTTGATGACGTTGGCGACTTCGTAGTTGTCCTGTTTTCGGTCTGCATTTGTGAATTGTTGTGGGTATTGCTTTCAATCATGATGAAGATTGGTCCGTGATACACTTTCAAGGTCTCTCTTGTTATTTCTTCAAATTGTTCTGAGGAATCCTGCATCAGAGTTGACCTCTTTTAATGGTGGTATTTAATTTGAGACCTTATCAGTGCTCGGCTGACGCGTTCCAATACGCGTTTTGCTGTCTCTTCTGGGACTAGTGATTTCAGCAGAAAACCCCTGGGGATGATGTTGTTGTCTTTCGCTCTTTGTGTAGGAAATGAGATATTTTGCTACATAAAAAAGCTGGATCGAAAAATAAGAGAAAAGAGCACCAACAACATCAGCGTTGATTTTATATAGACGCGCTTATCCTTCAAAATCATAAAATTGCCGACGATATCCCTACTTTTCTCCACCACCCCACACTCTCCCACTCATCAAAGAAATAATTTTATCATTCTCCCTCTTCCATCCCACCTTCTATGCCAACAGAACTGAAAAAGGACAAATGTTGTGATACGCTGACTGAGGTACTTCTTGTTATTTGAAATTTTTAACCGCGGATATCAAATGCCAGTATAGCTGGCTCATTCTGTTGAAGTAGATATGTTCCACATCATATTGTGTCAAATACAACTCAGCTTCAATCAACCCCATTGGTGATTGAATGTTATAATGTGGCCATATGAGTTGATTTACATGGAAATGAATTTCTATTACAGAACTGCGGTAAATGTTATTCTGGGGCTCCACAATCTCAACGAAATCCAAGCTGCCCAAACTATAGGTGTGTCCTCTATCTATTATCATTCTAGTTACAACAGCGCTACATTGAAGGAAGACATTGCGCTCTTGCTTCTCAGTACTCCTGTCAACTTAGGAAATACTATCAGTATTGCGTGTTTACCAGCTGCTGGACGTGATTATCAGGGTTCAAGGTAAGGATGTAAATGTTCTTGAAAATATTCTTTTTCACAAATTGATTCAAAATTGAAAATAGTATACTGAATATATTCGTTTTCTTTCGAATAGATTTCAGCAGATCCGTGATTTTACACATTCATGAAAATGAATTAAATACTGTTACATTCATCCGGCAGTAAAAAAATATTTAAGTACATACATCGATAAAATCGTTCAACAAGAACCAAATAGATGAGTATTATCGCTGTTGAAATAATTGAAATCAAATAAACTCATTTGAAGTATAATAAAAGTTCGCTGTACATAATTTCTTCAGCTATTTGTGATAGATATGTTTACCGTCTGGAGATGTTCGAGTAACTGAATAATGTTAATTATGATTCATTAGAATGAAGTATTTTTTTCAGTATGAAAAAAACTGATGTGAAGGAGTATTTGTAAAATGAAATAATATTATATTCAGAAAAACATTTCGTTGTGAGATTTACACTACACAGTTCTACGAGAATGAAAATTAAAGACTAATTGCACACAAAGATGATTCAAAATGATCATAATGAGTTCCACTTAAAATGATGTAAGACCTCGACATACACAATGAAAATAAAAGAAATAATTTTCCTGAAAACATTTGATCCCAAATTTAAGCAGCCAACAGAAAATGATCATACTGAAACATTTGACGTTTTGATTCATTTTCCAAAAAATTCTTGCAGTTTCAATATGCGGTATAAATCAAACCTCGCAATACACGCCATACAAAACAAACATAATTTCCCCCCACCAGAGAACATAAAACTCATAAAACAAGTCAACAAAGGAAACCGCATGGACATTTGGGAAAACTTGAACATCCATAAATTTAACAGTCATAAATCAATTATCGAAGAACAAGTACAAATCAAAACACAACAAGACCTCATATTCAATATGTTAAACAAAACCATACACATTCCTAGAGAAGAGTACCTGATGCAGTACAAATACAGGCAAATTTACCTAAAGTACCTGTAATACCTGAGTTGAGACGCTCTGACTGTATAAAGAGGCAGACGACAGGATGACAAGTTCGGTTTGAGGAGTGCCTAGAAGATGACAGTACTACCAACTGTCGAAAGCGCTCGCAGATAATTGATAGAAGATATAAAGCTTCAAATCCTTTTTGTAAAATTTAATATTGAAATATATATGTTAACTCGAAGATTCTCACGGATAAAGTATGATGAGCTGTTTTTTCGGGTTTCGCTCCGTGTTCTGTGTATTTGATCCCCATAAGGATTATTTTCACAACGTTGCGGCAAATTCTCATTTACCATCTTCTGGTGATGTCTGAAGTCTAGTTGAAAAAACTTCAGACATCACCAGAAGATGGCAAATGATACTTTTTCTGACTGATTGCGAATTTTCCATAAGTCGAACGTGCCCTAAAACTACAGTATAAATAGCTTCATTTTTGACAACCCCTGAATGTTTATGCTTATTTTTTTGTTAACAGATCCAGTTTCAATAAATTTGTTCAATAATTTCGAAACGTATTTGTGTCCTACATTTCTTCCTGAATGATTATCATTGAAAATACGGGCAGCAGCTCTAGCACTATTTCCATTATGGTAGTACAAACTCACTATTTCAATCCGTTCTCGAAGCGTATAAACAAGTGCCTCTCAAGAATTCACAAATTCATAAACATCAATTGTAGCTTCACCTGGTAGGTAATCGTTATTGCAGAATGATACAAATACAAATACGAAAAATATACCGAATTCAAACTTAACTAGGCAAAATAAATTTTTTTAAAGTATACTTCACAAAAACACATATGAAACCTAGGTAACAGATCGTACAGAAGTTCATTCAGGGAGGTTCGGTTCCAACTCAAATAATTTTTAGCTTCAGGACTGTGAGCTACAGACCATAATGTATTCTACTTTGTTGAAATCTGTTCATCATGGAAAATCTGATAATGCAAAACAATTGATCCAGTTAAAAAAAAATCGTGACATACCCCGGGGGTGCGATATGGAAAGTAACATCAGTTATTTCAACACCTCAACACGTGTTCCGATCACCAAATGATCATCTTCAAGAAGAAGAAGATCAGTTTGATCTTCATCTCGATATGGAAGATAGGGACAAATGGGACCTTCAGTCAGACACAACCAAAAAACAAACTTACTCTATTACTCTATTTTCCTCAATCGCCAAGCTTCCGTCTATGAAATACGATAGAAAAAAATGAATTTTATATAACGTGTGACTATTTCAAATTACGATTATTACCAAGATTTATCTATGTCTGTTTACATGTTTGAAAATCTGGCCTTTATATCCCACGGAGGTTGAAATCCAAAATCCAAGGTAACGTCCCCAGGGGTAATATGCATCAGATAATATGATAGTTTTAATGACGAACTTCTTGGAAAATATTCCCCTTCAAATTATGTTCTTCAGATGTTCAGATGTTCTTCATATTTCATGAAAATGGACTCTAGTGGAGTCTGAGACGAGTCTTCCCCAAAAGAAACCCTACGAAAGATATATGCTTGAATATTCACATCGTTGAAAGGTGGGCCGACTTTTTGTAAAGTAAATGGAGTTAATAAAAATAGCTTGAAGGACTTACCACAAAAAGAGATTTCTCTTTAAAAATGGTTACTGATTGTGAAAAGAATGGTACTACAAAGTGATTTAGGTGCGAGAACTATACAACAATTCGAAGGCAATCAAGAAAATTTGGATAAAAAGCAATTTGCTGAGGTAAATTGGCAAGAACCTTCGACAAATAACACATCACCTTGGTAACTGTTCTACGATCGAAAAATAATTTTAGAGGATAGGATGATTGGATTTTCTCCTAAATTCGGTATTATTCGGTGATATTCCATCTTTTGTGTACCGATGGGAACTAAACATCCCACCAGTGTAGGAACCTTAACTGGATTGAGCGAAATGCATAGACTGAAAGAGATCTACTTTGATTTTTTCTGATCATATTAGACGTATATACAGTGTACATCTATATTGTCGTCAAGATTTCCCTAAACCGTTGCCCCGAAAAAAAATAAAACCCTACAGGGTCACAATACTGGGTTGGTAGATCCTCCTCTGCAACTTCGTTGCATTTTTCATCATAAATTAAATTGATGCAGAATATGAAGATAACATTTATTTTTCTGAAATAAGATGACTCAAACGTGACATTTTTTGAGTTGATAAACTAGGGATTGAAATGTTCATTAAAGAAAAAGAAAATAATATACCAGAATTATTGAATTTTAAAGAGATGAGCGAGTTAGGTTTTCTTGTAGACATCACATCTCTGTACCTGTGGAGTAGGGAGGTTGAGTGTAGACTCACAGCACTTAGGCCAAATGTGACCCATTGTACATCCTCACGAGGAGTTGTCCTCTTAGGTCATCGTCCATCCTGTCCTTTCCAGGAAGGTGGACAGGTCACTGGGAGACATCTCTTCCAAATCGGCAGATGTAGGCCAAGTCTTGCCGAACACACACTCTCTTATTGACGATAACACCGGACACTCGCATAGGAAATGCCTGACAGTTTCATCTTTCTGTTCAAATATCCTGCATAGAGGTGTGTCCACTAGCCCCATATTATGTAGGTGTTTCCTTAGTTCTCAGTGACCAGTCAAAAATCCTACTGTTGAGCGTAGATCATAGTTCTGTATGAAACATGCTGACATTTTTTCTAATTCCCCACTTAATCTTTAGGCTTAGTGATCTGGAGTACACTCCACATCTTGAGCATTCTTTGATTTTTGAGCCGTCTGTATACATGTGTATTGCATTTGTAGCATCTGACTTTGTGTTCTGTTTCATTCGTATTTTGAAGGGTTCACTAAACAAAAGCCTGTAGTCAATGCATCACTGTTTGCCTGCAGCAGAGGTTGCGCAGTGAGTGCTTCTCGCTCTAGGCTCAGTCTCAATTGACTCATTCATACTTTGAGGTTTACATCAGCCGTGCGCAATCGTAACATGGCCATCAACATAAACTGATTAATGTCCAGAGGGGACAGACCAGTAATTAATTATATTGCCGTGGTTGTTGTTGTTCTCATGGCTCCTGTGAAGTTTAAACAAGCCAATCGCTGTAATCGATATAATTTTCGGATGGCCGTTGCTTGTAGAACTTTTAGTTCCCATGCAATGGCTCCGTACGTTAACTTAGGTCTCATTATTGCAGTGTAGATCCAGGTGACCACACGGGGTGAAGGGCCCCATGCGCGTCCCACTATCCTCCAACATTGCTCATAAGCTTCATATTCTCCTTTTGCTTTACTATCTAGGCACTTACTGGTGGCGTGGTAACCACCAGTAAGTGTAATGAAGTATGAACCATATGGTCTGAAGCTAACTTTCGGCAGCTACAAATCATTTGAGTTGAAAACGAGCCACTCTGAATAACTTTTGGAAAAATGAAGCACACCGTGTACACCCACATGGCAACTTTTTTTCAAAGCTGCAAACACATCCTGTATATCTCCATAGCTCAACCGTTTTCTTCCCCAAAGGTGTCAGCCATGTTTTTTTCTTTAACGCTGGCAGCCAAGTTTTTTTCTATATCGCTGCACACATATCTACCGCGATGGCAACCATGTTTTTGTCTGCAACGCAGGCAGCTATGTTTTTTCTTTGAAACCATACACCCTGTACAAAATTTGATTGATGTGTTTCGAAACGACACCCTGTACACCCAATATTAGTGTTCTCATCAACACATTCGAATCGTTATCTCTCAAACAGCGATAACGCCACCGCTAATTGAGTCTTATACATGTTATATGTTGTTTATTGACCTTCTCCATTCATGACCAAGGTGACTCGAAGTAAACAAGATCCAACGTCAACGCTATTGCTGCTGAATGAGCACCTGCATATTCGCAACTCTTCAAGACACAAATACTCTCTCTTCTTCTTATTTTATTTTCAGAAAATGTTAACAATATTTTCCTATAAATACCGTCCTGCGTGACGACATAAGTTAGTTATTAGAA